GGTTCCTAAACCGGCATTGCGGTTCCTGTGGAATCGGTTCCTTTTCGCGGTTCCAGTTCGGTTCGTTACCTTTCATGATACATGCACAGGGGCATAAGTGTGGTCATATGGTCGAATGTGTATACGTATATTCCAACACCTTTTCAGCTGTCGCGGAATGGTCTCCAGGTCTCAGGTTTATGGGTTGTGCCCTGCGCCTACAAGGCCTTCGAGACACTTTGCGCCATAAGCCCAAGGGCCATGGCGTCATGGTGAGCTCCTCTACCAAACATCGGTGAGATATTTTTCATGAGTTCTAGTGAAATATCAGATCAGACTATTTTGAATCATATCACATCGATTCGACGAGTCTGCACCCCGATGAGGCGCGGACGGGCGCCCGCTTCGACACCCTGGCGGTGCACGCCGGGGACCAGCATGATCCTGGTTCCTTGGCACTTTGCGTCCTGTACACTGATAGTGCTGCTACACATCGAATCAAACGATAAAGTATACATGTGGGTGTAATGATTGCTTTTTTTGTCTCTATCCCTCTGTCTCTGTCCTCCCTCCACTTCGCTCTAGCTTGTTTTCTCTGCATCTCTCTCTCGCTCTCTCTCTGTCTCTCACCTTTCCGCGCTCTCTCTACAAGTACATACACATGCAACTGCACGTGCATGCAGTCTTGAGCTGTCATGTGGGTTCCGGGGAATGATAGTTCTGGTTCAAGAACAGGCAACAGGAGACTTTTGGATCCCTACCCAACGGGATCCTCACCCCCTTGGACTGGCCACAGCTCCCAGACCTTTCATCCCCACGGCCGGGGTTTCGGGTGGAAACCTGCAGCCCAAACTAAAGCAAAGGCCATGGGGCCGTGATCCCGCCGATCACCACTGCTACGAGCTTCGTGCAGCCCAACCTGGGTCAGGCAAGGGGAATTGTGAGGGAACTTGTTGGGAAGCTCATGGTGACTTCTGTCATCATGAGCATACTTTTTTCGATCAGTCCTACTGTTGCTTTTCGCCTGATGGCTAGTCGTCCGGAGTCCCAAAGGCGTTTTTCTTTCTCTCAATTGGAAGACTTACAAAGAAGGGTTCGAAGACACCATGGCCTGTGGGAGATTCGGCAACTTTGAACGGGACTTTCCGCTGTAGAGGACAACCATGACACGCTGTAGCGATGCGCTGCTTCCCAAAACGTGCAATAGATTCTTGTTTCAATGCAGAGCCGACTTTGCATCATAAAAAGCCATAAGCTGACAGAATAGTGCAGTAGAAGAAGCATCAGAAGGCAGGGCACGAAAAGCAATCCCCGCCCCCCCACCAACACATCTCACTCACTGGCCCGGAGCCTTCTACTAAAGCAACAACCCCCCGGAGGAGGGGAAGTTTGCGTACTCTCGCTGCGGCAATCCGACAAGGACAGTGAGGGTAGGCGGTTATTGGGGACGGGGCTGGCTAGGGCTGGAGTATGGCAGAAACGCCCTTGCTGGTAAATATTAGTCATGGCATTGAGGCCAGTTTCCAGTTCAGGGTTAAAAGGAACCCTCATTGTGACCTTTTAAAGGAACCCTAAACAAACCTTAAAGCAGCCCTTGTATGAATGTATGTATGTATATGTATGTGTATGTGTATATGTATATGTATATGTATCTGTATCTGTATATGTACATAAAAAATATATGTATGTGTATGTGTATATATATATATATATTTGTTTATTTATTTTATGTATGTATTCATTTAACTATTCATTTATTTATTTACTTACTGCCATTTCCTATTGTGTATGTATGTTTGTATGTACAACTGATTATCTTTGAGTTTATTTGTTTGTCTACACACACGTACACACAACACCGTGTGTTCACATCCGTGTTCTTCTGTAGGTTCATATTCGCATGATCACACTGATCCCTAAACCCGAGAGGCTGGCCCCTGGAGGTTCTCCGGAGACCATGTCTTGGTATAAGAGAAGAACTTGTTGCAAGAGCTGGAAAGTACCGCAAATACCACTGATTTTGCACTTACGGAACATAGCTACGCTACTCGGAACATGTTGTCTTCGTGCGTACTTATAGCTGGGAAGTACGCGCGCGCGCGCGCGAAGATGTTAGAAAGCAAGGTTTAGGCACACGTCGAACAACGAAAACAGGCGAAAACTCGAGGTTTTGTCGTCTGTGAGTGCGCAGTAAGATGAAAACATGACGAAACCCCTGGGTTCCATGGTGTATTGGTATTTACAGTACTTCGTACACCTCAACAGAAACACGGAATCCCGATAGTCGTGGTTTTATGTGCTGTTTCGGTTCACAATTTGGGTTTCGTCTGCTGTTGCCTGAAAGAAAACATGCAAAAACTCGAGGTTTTTGCCTTGTGCAACTGAGGAGAAGCACTTCAGCACGTCAGGAAAACCTTGCGTTTCACGGTCTATTTGCAACAGAGTAGCTAATTCACTGGTATTTGCAGTACTTCGCACACGTGGAGAAAGTCAGAGTTTACCGAAATCCAACCTCCGAAGTCCTGAACACCAAGTTGTCCCCGGAGAACCCCCAGGGACAATCGACCCTAGACCCTAAGCCCTAAACCCGAGCCTACTTTTGTCAAGGAGTGCCTATGAGTCTGCGCTTGCGGACCTGGAGGCCCTGCGGGACTAAGGGTTGGGGCGTTTGTTAAGGCTTTTGGGGTGTTGAGAGGTTCGTGTTTAGAGTTTCTTGCGGGGTTCGGGGTTTAGGGGATGATGTAGGGTTGACTCTTTGGGGGAGAGTGTCAACAACATGAAGCCTTTAGGTCCTGGCAGCGCATGCAGGTGTGGTGGTACGCCTCCTGACCCAATCAATATGTCTGCCAGCATAACACCGCCAGCATAACAGACATGGATCGGGCTGTCGAGACTGCATCCGGAATACCAAAAATTCTCAGCCGAAACTTCGACCATTCGTCATGCCCTCATGCCCTAAACCTGAAACTTCCCCGAAGAGCTTGACTGCCAACGCTGTGAGGCCGGTACCTGGGCCACAGCCACTGCTTCAGGCGGTGAAACTGGTTAGATTTGGGCTCGCACTGTCAGATCGTAATGGAATGTGATACTGACCACTTTAACTATATTTTTTTCGGCCGTTGTTTCCGGATTGGCGCGTGAATCGCCTTTGGCCGCGCCCCGAACCCCCGCCTCAGCTAAAAAAGCCGGACAAGGCATGGCTGCCACAGCCCTGGCTTTGGAGCTCCTGGAGCCTGGTGCTCACGTTCTCGTCATGAGGCCAGCCAGGGACTCACAAACAAGATGATGCCGACCGATCCATATATATATATATACATATATACATATATACACATATATATATATAGAAATATATATACATACGGGCGGGCGTTCCTGGGCTTTCGCATCGTCAGGGGCGTCTACGGCGGCACCTTTCGCCTGCGGGGAGCTCAGCCCCAGTCGCCGAGCCACCAGAATTCACTGCCATAAGCAATCTTCAACCCCGTTCCTCAAAAGCTGGCGATGCTCAATCTCCGCGAGCCTCCCAGAGTGTAGCGAAGGAACGGCCATCACTCAATGGGTCAAAATGGGCATGGTCCTGCTGGGTTAGTTCTTGACCCCCCAGGCTTTCCATCCAAGTTGTACTTACTCATGCCCTAGGACTGCTCTAGGCATTTGAGACTTGCGAAACAGGCTTCCGACAAGCTTGGGGATATCCCCCGCAGCTCTGACGCTTTCTTTCGGGAAATGTCGGCTTTGAGAACCTCGCAACATGTAAGCTTAAACTGCTTGTGTCGCAAGTCTCCCACGAAGATCCGGCCCCCAAACTCCGAAAGCCCTAGACTCCAGGTTCGAGACGGTGCGAAGCCGGACGATGAAGCTGGGTGGCAAGTACTCCATAAGTCTTTGAGTCTGTGCTTCCAAAGAGCTCCACCAGGTCTATACATGCCATGATGTGACAAGGCTGTTGGCTGAAGCTCTGGGACCCTGCAGTCCATCGGCGCAAGTTTGAAAGCCCCATTCACACGCTTAGCGGCGCAAGCAAAGGTGAAATGTAACAAAGGCGCATGGGCATAGAAAACCATGGACATCCATCGAATAGCACTGCAGCAGTTCGACGGACGAGGAATTTGCAGTTTACGTATCTGGATCTCAATGACCTGGAGGACGCCCGGCTTGTCTTAGAATAGCAGACATCATCGGAGAGAGGGGCAACGGCTCAGGGCTGGATGCGGAGATGGTCGGGATTTTGCTGAAACGGGCTCCATGCATGCTGGCGCTGTTGCTGCACTCTCGCGCTAGCATGTTTCATCTAGACCGGCAGTGTCGAGCCATGCATGAAAGGACGTGCGGCAGCAGATGCGCAAAGAGACAGGCATGATTTGGGCTGCTTGCTCGCAGACGGAGTCACAGTCCATGATGGATAATTGCTTGGCTGTTCCAGGTAGTGCCAACTCCAGGTACAAGTGCCAATACAAATCCGGGCGGCAGTTTGGGACTCCCCTTTCCCAACAAGCAGAAGCTGCTTGCGTCCAGAGAGAGCATCGTCCAGCGGCAGTGAGATGTCCTGTCACCTCTGGGCAAAAACCTGATCAAAGCCCATGGGTTTCTCACTCCCACCCTAAACCCTAAACCCTAAACCCCTAAACCCCAAACAAACCCTAAACCCCAACAAGGAGATCCTTGCAACCCTCATTTTCGAAACCACTAACCAGGCTTTCCCAGTTCTGACACAGACCAGGAAGCTCCTCAACCTCCTCCAGGCCTCCCCCGAAACAATTTTTAGTAACCTTTGTAAGTAGCATCCTTAGAGTTTTATAATTCTACCTAGAGCATGAGTAACACCCGGAAAAGATCCCTCATAAATGGTGCCTGTTTAGTATCTTGCTGCCCCTCATATTGCCCGAAAAGAATATAGCCACTCAGATCGAGAGCCCCACGAATCCGCTGCTCAAGCGTCTTGGCAGCATGAGGGTGCTGGTGGAGTCGCTTTACGCGTTCAGAGGTTCGGGAGTTTCTCTAGTCCGAAGCTTGGCATCTCATTTTCGGTGCAGATTCTGCAACAGCTTGCTGAGAACGCAGAGCTGGCAACTTATGCTCGCAGGTGACGGCCGTCGTGGGTAAACGAGGTTCTCCTTAACTCCATGCTTGTTCTGCCACCTCGAAATTGGTACCGACTAGAGGCTAGTACACTGGTCAACTATGCCGTAGATGAAGAGTGTGTGTGTGGTGTGTGTCTACTTCAGAAGCCGTAGGTGCATGTTCGAGTAGCCGGCAATGCATCAGAGTAGTACGGATAGCATGTTCTCGTCGTAGTACATTATCCTACACAACCGCACATGACTGTGCAGACTCAGTCCCTCTTGCCTTTGCATTGCAAACTATGGCAGCGCACAATGTCACATCAAAAAGGGTAGCCGGTATATCACGCAAATACCGCTTGCTATGCGACCGTTTGGAGGCTTCTGGCCTGCATTCGCCTACCCTGGCCTAAAAGCCCTAAAAGCCTCGATCCTTGCAGACTCAGGCTGGTGGATATCCGGAAGCTGGTCGAAGCCGTGAAGGCCCCGCGGCCTCATCCACGCAACTGCCATGCGAATTTAGAAGCCTCAGTAAGTAGTACCTTCCGTTCCCCCAGGTGTTGTTTCTAGTATTCTAGTATAGCCCTAGGGTTTCTTTGTCACAGCTGTGGGGCTGCGGGGTCTCGGGAGCCAAGCTTGCCTTAGGACTTCAGAGAACCGAGCTTCGAGCTCGGTAAAGTCCTCAGCAAAGGTATGTCATACTCTCATCCCACAAACTTACCCTGCTATTCTAGATCGGTACAAGTCACATGAAACATGGCAGTCTCCAGAAGATTCCTCTTCGCATAGTGGGCACATGTTGACAAGCTCCGTTTGGCCAGCAAGTTGCCCGGCATGCTCGGTTTTCAAGAGCCTTCCGTTTCGAACGCCAGGATCCCAGGCCTGCAAGGGGCCTTTGCAAGCTGTTCTTCGACCTGCTACCAAGCCATCTCACAAGAAATGAGGTCTTCTCCTAAACCCTATCGGCCCTATCACATCGAGTTCTTCCGACGAAGCAAAGAGGACCAGGGCCTTCAACATAAAGCCAAGCCCCCGCGGGCACAAAGCATAGAGCTCTTGATCTCCCAAAATGTGCGTGATGTCCAAGGCCAAGGCCGCCAAAGACACTTGTCTGAGATTCTGTCCTTGTGGCAGCATAACGTAACAAAAAAGATAACATAGTTTCGCAATGAACCTAGTATAGCCAAAATGTACTAGAAACTAACATGATACTATAAGAAATATGGATATAGCATAGTATATAAGGAATGTAGTAAAGTGTATTTTAACATCGTAGAAACGATTACGATAAAAGGGTCAGGTTCTGGGAAGATGCGGGGGCTCAAGCTCCGAGGGAGGAAATGTCGCCGTTGGCGGCCATTTCACAGCAACAAAAGCCCCGAGATCTAGTTGTTTAGTGAAGCTTGTAATTGCGATCATGTTTTTGCCTGCAGAAAGCTAAGAAGTAATGACCAATGTAAGTATCATGAACGCTGCTGCTGCTGCTGCTGCTGCTGCTGCTACTACTACTACTACTACTACTACTACTACGACGACTACGACCACGACTACTACTAGTACTACTACTACTGCTACTACTACTACGACGACGACTACTACTACAACTAGTAGTGGTTCGTGTTGAAGTCATCTTTGCAGCTTTGCCAGCTCTCCCGCTGCCCAGGACGGCACCCCAGCTCCCCTGATTTGCGCAGTGCCTGGGACTGGGTTTTAAGGGTTTTAAGGGGTTAGGGGTTTTAGGGGTTTAGGGTTTAGGGTTTTAGTTTCAAGAGTCCTGCTTAGGGTCATGAAGTTGAGGAAAGTACAACTTGGACTCCAAATTCTCAAACCATCGGTGTTTCGGAACAGTACAGGGCGTCATCCGTCCTTCAAACATGCGATGGGAAGAAGCTCACCACAAGGCATCCTCGTCGTAGAGTCATTGCTAGTGCCTGCGCAGCTGCTACTCGTCGCATCCGGGTAGCACTAGCAATGTCGGCTTACCTCCGAGTCATTTTTGTTACAGCCCTGCTAGATCTTGCTATCATTATCCATGTCTTGTTGTGTTTTTCTCCTGGACTACACCCGTGGTGGCAGCGGCAGAAGCAGACATGGGAACATGCGCAAATGCTGCAGGGTCGGGTGGACCTTCGAACCTCATGGCTGAATCTGCCTAGGACAACACTTTTGCCACAGCCTGGAATCAGCAGCCGCTCGAGTTGGGCGTGGACTTGGCCGCTGGGATTGTCGAAACGGAGCTTCTGAGCCCCGAGGTTCTATGTCCAACAGCCCGGTGGCGTTGGCCCTTGTTTCCAAAGGACTCCCCTTCATTCCAAGCCCATTGATAGAATCGGCTGATTGCAGAGCTCGTTGTTGGGAATTCCGGGATGGGCTCTCGCTAGACCCTGGATAGCTCGTTGCCCTTGCGTTCGATCAACATGAATGGACCTTGAAACAGATAGAGGGGTCCGGACCAAACCGTTCGTTTACTGGAGTCCATAGATCACGAAGCTGACAGCCTCTACGATGCAGACTGCAGAAGCTGCAGAGTTCACTCTGTGATTGTGTTCCACGTGGAGCGGGGAAGCCATGTTGAAAGATAGCCCGAAGGAGAAGCGATGTTCATGCAGAATCGCTGGTGTGATGATCATGATCATCACCATGATGCTGCTGATGATGATAGAAAAAATTTTGATGATGATGATGATGATGACGATGAGACTTTCTGCACCTCCCCATGTCTGGAGAGCAAGTTAAGGTGATGCTCTCGGCCAGCAAGTACATCGGCGGCCATTCCGACATGACTGGCGGTGCGCTGGTCACCAAAGACCCAGTCCTCGCTCAGAGGCGCTGGGAGGTGATGTCTCAGGGGGCTTCAGGGTTCTCCCTTTTGGGTCCTTGGCCGAGTCATGGGAGCAAGAAGCCGTGGGGGTTGTGTTCGGAACTCTGGAGTTCGCCCGGGAAGGCTCGCTTCCTTGGCCAAAGCCGTCGGCGGCATCGCCAGCCCCTTCGAGGCTGAAGCTGCTGAGTCCGGAACCGTCCTCTCATATTTTGGGGGGCGGCTTCCTTAAAGTAGGGGCGGGTCCCTAGGACGACGATCCACTTATTGCTGGTACCTGTTTCCTTCCATGTGCCACGCGCCCCTCTAGGAACCCAAGCAAGGGCCCAAGTCAGTCTAAACGTGTTGTAACGTCCGACACATGAAAGCCCTAGGCGAAAGAACACTGGAAATATTGATGCATCGGTGACACTCGTACTTCCAGCAGACGACCTCGGAAGGCCTACCTGGCTTTGCGCGGGATGAAGACCCTCGCAGTGAGGATGGAGAGGCCGATCAGAAGGAATTCGGATTTAGGCGTTTCGGGTGTGTTTTTGAAGATAGGAGACTTGGTGAGGAGGGTGGAGAGGAACAGTCGGAGGGAGGATCGCCAAGCCCAGAAGCGAGATGAGTAAGCTGCTCTGATATGGTTACATTACGCAAAAGGAAGGCAAGCACATGCGAACGCGAAAAGGCAAAAGCACCACTGGCTTCTGAAACATCATTTACAGCTATACTAGGTATGACGCCACGTGATGCAAGCATCTCCTGGGAAAGGCAATGCCGCAATGCCCAGCGCGTAGCGGAGTTTCTCGACGGCCATCCGTGCGTTGCCGAGGTCGCACACATTTCGTGTCCAAAAGGGTGGAGGGCATTAAATCATTGCGGCAAAGCAGTGGTCCGTTCTTTTGCTGCATAACTGTCTAGAGGGTGACTTGGTTCCTTCCGCCTAGCCTAGCATAGGCATAAACCCCAGCAGAGCATGCACATTTGCTGTGGTCAAACCGCTTAGGGAAGGTGCATTATCCTGGCCTTCCGCGGCACCCACAGCACGAGCTTTGCAAGAGGCCTTGTCGGCGAGGGCATGCTGGGCAATGGCTACCAGAAGCGTCAGACATGTGGTCTAGCTGTCTATATTTGATTTAGACTCGAAGCTAATCTGCAGAATGGAAGGCTGAAGTACAGCTTCAGCTCATCGGCTTGCTCAGTGCTAGTCTGCGCACTGCAGACATGCGAGAGATGGGAGTGAATCAGGATTTGCACTCGCGGTCTCTTGCAAAGCACTTCCTTTAACTCAGTGCGAGCTCTTGGTATGTTACCCTGGTGATGCTTGGCACGCGATGACCGAGACAGCGCGGTCCAAGACCCTCAGTTGACTCCAAAGGAAGGGCACCATGAAGTCAGTCTTGTTTCAGCAGGCAGATGCGCTCCGGGGGCGCGGTTGTTACTGTCCGCTTCAAAGGCCGTGGCGTGGCGAGTTCAAGGGTTCATGTTTGGTTTGGGGCTTTAGGAGGTTTTGGGGTTCTTGGCACGCTGTCAAGCTACTTCTGACTGCTGGTTTAATGCTTCTCAATACGCTAGCGTGCTGAGGAGTGTGTGTTGCTGTGTTGTGTACTATTTTCAGCCCTGGAGTGTACGCGGGAGGAGCAAAGGTGCCAAATCAAGCAGCCTTGCTTATGTTTCTGAGTGATTGCTGATCTGATACGACTCATGATAGCAACAGCAACTAGATCAGCAGAGCATAGCCACAATAGCGCAAATTACCAGACCCTGAGAACCAAGAGTAACGCAGCAAAGATTACAACCCTAGCCCATGAGAGGTCGGCCCGGAGAAGAGGATCTGGACATGATGCGAAGGCCTCGGGTTTTAGGCTTTAACGCTGTCGGGTCCTTGGGAGGGCTCCAGGCTTTTGTTTATTATGTTTAGGGCTTTTCGGAGGGGACCGGGGAGGTCTCGAAGAAGTCTCCCGGGCCCGAAGATCTAGCCAGGCTGCTGACGTCTGGTGTTAGTTCAGGCAACCGGGGGACCGTTTTTGTTGGAGCCCAGCTTCACTTCGACTCAGTGCAGTTTCCAAGTTGCCTGGAGTCTGGAGGTTCTTCAGCAAGATCAAGTTCTGGATTCTGGCCGAGTCGCTTGGAGGGGTGGAGAGCCCCTTGGTCGAATTATCGATTCTGGGGCTGTCACCGCTACAAGGAGCTATTGCTTCCATGCCTCAAAGCCAGCAGCCTCTTTTCCTGATCACCAGACCTTCGGGCTACCGTGCTTGATGTCGTTGCTACCTCTACTGCTGCTCCTTCGTGCTTCTACTACTTCTACCACCATCAGCATCACCACCGCCACTGCTACTCAGCTGAGCACTTCTACCATTTCTTCATATCTTGCCTCCTCAGTAAGGGCTTTTCCACTCAATCATCCTGTTCTCCTGACACCATGTTATCCTCTACCCACCACCTTTTGCTGCTCCCCAATGCTACTGCTGCTACTGCTTCCTTGTGCCCTGAGGCATGATCAATCACAGCGCGACCATGTCGCATGGCTCCATGACCAAGGTTTGGGGCTTCAAGTGGGGGGCTTCACAGGGAGGCTCTTTTTCAGCCAGTTCTTGCCCTGACCGTCTAAGTGTGGACGTCCCCAAGGTCTGTAGTTGGCTTTCAGACGGCAAAAGCATGTCGCAGGAGCAGCGAGCTTCTGTCGGCATCTACGACACGACGCTACGCCTCAGCGTCGGCGTGGAGGTCACAGTTGTAGAGCCGTGTCTTTGAAGTGTGCAATTGAGGAACATGGTAGTAATGAGGTGACGGTGACGACGAGCCAGAAGCAGATGGAAGTGCCATGTTGGGTTTGAGGCATGTTAATGATGATGATGATGTGACTATGATGCAAGGCTGCAGTTGGTGTTGGGGATCATGCTCGTGCTCAGACATGGAAGAGTTGCTGTATTTGGGGACACATGCATGCAGTAGATGAAGGCCATATTCGATTCAGCTTGCATGAACAATTGCACTGCTGCTTGACTACTTGCCTGTTTGTACCGTAGGTCCATAGGTGCACTCCGGAAAGGTTCGTGAGACACCTGCATCAGTCACAAGCAGCAATATCTGCACCAGCAAACTCATCGAAGGTGCAAGCAACCAGCGCACAGGGCAGTTGGCGAATTCGGCCGGAGAGTAGAAGTGTAGAAGGGCCAGACGCTTGCAGCTCTGGAGACCTTCGGCTTCATGGGAGCGTAGCGGGGCTAGGATTGCTGACCGCTGGCCACTGTCAGAAGACGCAAAATGCAATCCTACCATGGACAAGCATCCTGGCTCCGCGTTTCGGAGTTGTGGAAGTGTCAAACCGACGGAAGGACTGCGACGACCTGATCGAAGATTTGGATCACGCCCTGAAAGCTTAGAGCCGATTCTGCCTGGTTTCGTGCCCGAGCCCTTTCACTTCGGCAGTAGCTCTCTTGTTGTTGAGTCTCTGCTTCAGATCACCTTGTTGACGTGCTCAATCTGGTTTTGATGTCTATCTTTCTCACGAGGTCCAGTCAGTCTCATGTCCTTGAGTCCTACGGGCAGAGGCCGAAACTGCGGCAGTCCTAGAAGCCGCACACCGCCAGAGGTGCGTGCGGAATGCAGAAAGAAAAGGTGAGTGCAGAAGCATTCAGTTTCAGCGGCGTGACGGCTGGCCATATCAAGGTGCAGATCTTCAATGAGATCCTTGTGAACGCTATTGATCGACAGTTCCAAAGCCTCTTGCCTCAGTGAGGGTCTCCAAGGTTGAGGGTCATTTTCAGTACTGTTGTTGACAGGTCTCCTTCGTTTCACATCCTACTGCCACTGCGGCGGCCGCCACCACAACCATTCTTTCTAGCAGTGCCCACTCTCTTCCTTGGACCTGCATCATGTCGAGTGCCGACCTTCGCAGATGCGTTGATGTGCCTGGACCTCTGGTCGGCAGACTGCAAGGTTGTGAAGGTGGCCGGGGGCAACAGGCTAGCCTTGAGGTCTGGCTTCCAGCCCTTGCCTGCCAAAATGCTGCTTTGTAACATCCAACGGCTGCCAGCCGTGCGAGGATCCGAACGTCGCACAAGAATGAGTTGTCTAGGCATGGTCCACTACCTTGACTCGACGGTGCACCCCAATGCACTCCTAAACACACCATCCAACTTCGTGCAAAAGGCCTCAGTGATCGACTGTCTGACTTGACCTGTTTGTGGAACGATTTCCCTTGTCTCTTTGCAGTCTCGATCCGGATCGTGATGGTCAGGTGGCATGTCAGAGATCCGAGTAGACGTGAATGCGAAGGCAGAGCCGTGTCGCACCCTCCGGGATAAAGTTTTTGGGACCTTGGGTTCTGCAGACATGAACGGCAGCTCTTCTTGTTGAATTGCGCTCGAGCATTCTTCTTCTTCTTCGGCTCTCCCCACCTAGCAGTATGCAGGCAACTAGCAGGATGGTTTTCCAAGTCTAGTCCAGGTTGTACAGGGTCTGAATCAGTTTTAGCCTTTTGCTCGCGCCTTCGAAGCATACCTTCAAGCAGTGTCCCAACCAATCCATCTCAAGCTCTGAAAAATCGCCCCACACTACGAGGAAGCCAAATGCATCCATCTCGCAAGGCCGGGCGCATCAGCATCTCTAACGATGGTGGGCCTATCCCCATCGAGAAGCATGAGCCACTGGCCGTGCAACGGGGCATATCAGAAAACACAACCTTTGATACATTACTCAGCTTCTGCATGCTAGAGCCAAGGCCATCCTTGGCCAGTTAACCATAGACTGACCGGGTTTGCAGACGAAGCAATTTCTTTGGATGCCATCCTTGCAAAAAACTTGAAGATTTTGCAAGGACTGCGTGCCGAGCATCGCTGCCCATGTTCGCATTGCCCATCCCTTCGTTCACTCAGAAGGGAAGCCCCTAAATCGTAGTCGGGTGCAGAGTCCTGCATAGGAAGAGCAAGGATTCCTCGCAATCGCCACCAACTCCCGCCCCACCAGCACCAGCACCACCACCATCGGCTACTGCTACTGCTTTTTGCTGCTGTTGGCTACCACCACCAACCACAATGACGACCAACAAAGAGCTGTTGCCATCGCTGCAGCATTGAACAAGCAAGCGCTCGCCTTGAAGGTAAGCTGTGTTTCTGTCTCAGGTCGGGGCACTATGCAGCAGCCTCGGAGGGCCAGGGTCTGACAAGAGGGGATGCTCCGCACCATCCTCAGCACGAGTTGCAATCATCATCACCTTCATCATCATCGAATCATGGCGATCATCCCCAGCCCCACTCTCGCAAGGCTCCTCTCTAATTCCAGGCTTCGAGAGAGCCCCTGTAGGGCATGAAAAGCTTGAGCCTCAAATGCTGCCCCGTTTGTTTTGCCACGGAAGAAGCCTCAAAGGAAGGTTTAACCCCACGCCCCAAAACAGACCATGCTTTCCAGGTCCCAACTCTTGTCTTCGGCGAGTTCCTGAGCGGGGACAACTTCAACGATACGAAGGCGCCCGTCTAAGTTGCGAACCATCTACTGACGCGCTAAGGTCGTACGGCAACCACCGAAGTCTTCCAGCATCACCTTCGGAATGTTCGTAACACCGGACTCACACCAGCATGTACTCGCAGCAGTGAGTGACTGGACACGGAGATTGCATTTGCATTGGATGTGCTCACAGCCTTCCTTTCAAGGTGCCAAGTCCAAGCGATCCTTTTTCGAAAGTGTATCCTCTATGTACGAGCAGTACCCGCAGAGACATGTGAACGTGTGGACTCGGTGTGAACCGTGTTGTTCCTTCGTGAAGTTTTTTTGTTTCGTGAAGCTTGTATTCTTGTTGCAAACGTTGTTCCTTGACAGCGGCTTGGGCTTTGCGGATGAAGAGTCATCTTTGCGGGTGGTTCGATCTAACACTTCAGCAAGGATTAAGTAAGGCAGTATGTCTGCATATAGTATGCATGTAAGTTTGTATGGTGTCATACTCAACAGCGGCCTCAAGGGCGAAAAGGGCTGCTTTTAAGCCTTCGGGGTTTAGGCAGGTTTAGGCTCAACAGAACCAGAACCCATCCCTAAGCCCCACACCCAACAGACTTGCCTGCCAGGTTCGATTCACAGGCGGCCGCAACGGAGTCGGCGCCAAGGCGACCAACGCCTTCAGTCGCAGCTTCGAGGCAGGTTCGGGTTTCTTGTTCTGTCGCAGTGCGGGGTTCAGGTTACATCTGAGTTTTCTTGACGATACCGACATCACTGTTGCCGTCGTCATCGCCTGATTCGCCAGACACTGCTGGCTATCGGTATGCGATCCTCGCTTTTGGTCCGAGGCATTTGCCACACGCGATTCATTCGCAGCTGTTCTCCTAGTGGTCGAAGTCTAGGTCCTAGCTACGACTCCGAGCAAAGGCCCACATTACTGCTTGTTTCCCAGCCAGAGTGGCTACTGCTTCTGCAAAGCTTTGGTGTTCAACGGAGTCAAAGAGGCGCATGGGTGGCTGTGTTTTGCAGGCTTAGAGAAGCAGCACTGATACGTTCACATGCTGCACCTCATGGTTTTCATGCGGGACCCGACCCTAGAGCTTCAGTACTGGAAAACTTTGATCAGCAGCAGGTATGCCCAACTTCAAAACAGCCTACTCCGTATAGAACACGAATCATACCCCAACAAAACCTTATAAAGCCCCTTAGGGAGGCACCCTCCCGGGTTTATGAAGTCCCCAATGTTTCCCATTCCATCGCGCTGCAGGTCCAAGTCGACGATCCAGGCCAGGCGGGTTCAGGGATTTAGGGTAGGGCTATTGAGCTCGTGCTTACTAACTACACTTCAGGACGGTCCCCCTGCGACGGAACAGCTTTAGGAACTGATTTTGGAGGTTTGCCGCTGTCAGGCCTTCAGCGCGCAACACCGGCTCTTGCAGCACTCTAGTCTAATTTAACCGCTGCGCGTACCCGCGTCGGCCCATGCGCTCAAACATGATATAGACTTCTAACCCTAAAATTTCGGAGCCTGAAGCTACCTGGCCAGTCAAGAAGACAACACCTGGAGAGCCGTGCGCGTTGCGTACCAGCTGCGACGAGGGACTTAAGCAGGGGGCAGGACAAAGAAAGATTACATCTTTATCGCCACCACCACCAGAAGGGGAGTTCCGGGGATGGGAAGACACACCGAAGCCTCGGCGGATTATGCCGAAATCAGACGATCCATGTCCAACACGGCCTTTCCGGTGCGCACAACACACAGACAGGACAAAAATGCACATCTCTCTCTGAACGGTCGATTTAGGCACGGGCATTCGCTTCTTCCAGCGTCGGGCCCCCGCTGCTGGTGTTCTGAAAGTCGCTGGCCTTGGGTTCTTGGTGTTTTCCCCTGCTGGGCCCGAGGGTAAGGGGTGACTGTTCGGGGAAAGATCGTGGCAGAGATATTTGTTTGGATTTAAATACGGTAATCTGCAGAGCTCATTTTGGGCACCTCTACAGAGGCCGTTGACTCTCTCGTCTGGCAGCCTTGAGATGTATATCCACTGAAACGGTTTAGGGTTTAAGTTTAGGGTTGGTAGGGGTTTGGGGACAAAGGGTCTTGGAGAAGACAGGTGGCTTGAAGAGAGCTACCGTCCAGGGCCTCTCTGTCAGAGGACCAACCAATGCCATGAGAATAAAGGGGGGAAGTCCGCGCATAATTGATTCCTTTGTCGCCGAGGCTGGGAGAAGAACATGCTCCGTCGTTTGCCTGCGGAACAGCGCAAGCTGCCGCACTCCTCTCAGAAGTGTCGGTTTAAATGGAATTTAAGTCTCAAGACCATAGGAACCGGGTGCTCTACAAGTGATTTGATGGAAGCACTTTGCCAAGTTGGCAGACGCCCGGATTCTGGAATGGTTGGTAACTTGGTTCTAGTCGTCGTCACTGAAACAGGGCCAACGCACAAAGGTCGATGCTGTCGTCTCGTCAACCCCACTCCGAGACTACAGAAGCAACCTATCCCTTGCCCCAGGATCGGGGCCCATACACTGCTGCACTCTTTTCGGGTCGTTTTCTGTCTAGAGCAAACAGTGCTAGCGCATCGTCACGGCGCGCAGCATCGTGATCTTAAACATGCTAACGACATCGAGCCTGATGATCATGATCCGTCTAAATTGCAATCAACATCCTCGGTGATTATTCATTCTTCATCGTCATCATCTTCGCAACCCTCATCCTTATCGTAGACACCACCCATCACGATGATGATGGTCATTCATATCATCAACAGCAGCAGCAGCATCACTATAACAATCATCTCATTACCGCTCGCACCACATGCAGTCTTCGCTGAGGAAATCGGTGAAGCAAGGCAGCGCTACAGCCTGAGACTACTTCGTCATGATCGTAAGCCTTGAGAAGCTGGGCGTGGTTTTGCCAGAAGACCTTGAGTTCGCTTTTCACCAAGGATGTGTGTTCGTATGTGTGTGTATCTGTATGTATACACAAATACATACACACATACATACGTACGTACATACATGCATATACATGCACACAGAATCAATAGATCGGTATATTCGTGTTCATGTGTATATATGTATATGTATGTATACGCAAGAATCATAGCATATCAAATAATAGCCCAACGTATCATATCATGCTACATCATATCACACCATATCATATCGCATCTCATCATGACATACCATACCGTATCACCTTGTGTTATTTTCATACGTACCTGACTGGGGTTGGCGTACCTGATGTTACTAGGTATACCGTGTCGCGACTCTGAGCAGACGACGAGCTCCTGCTGAGGGTCGCAGCCTGTGTAGGTCCCCGGTCCGAAGAGCACGAATATAATGTCTGTCCATACAACATATGGATTTTAGGAATGAATGAAACAAGGGACGCTTCGGCATCAATGCAATCCGATCCAGAATACAGAGTCACTAGCTGACAACCCGCCTTTCTGGGCAAGGCCTCCAATTTGTTGCAGCGCATGCAGTAGACAACGACGACAGGCCATAGATAGGTCAGTGAGACGCGTCGAATTCGTTCGCAGTGCCACTTTGGCTTCGATCTTTGTCATGGACAGGGCTGCAGTGCCAAACCGTCAGGAAATTGTACTTCTGTCTTTTCCTATCATCTTTAGAGCTCAAACTCAATCTACCTCGAGAGCTTATTCTGTCGAGGGCTTTTTGGTAGTTGATGGAGCTTTCGCTGCAAATCTGCAAGCGACGTTCGAACTTCCCCGGATTCTAGATTGGCCTTCCCTGAACAGAGGCGTGCATATACTTCAAGACCAGTTTATTATGCTTACTGCACTTTTGTACAGCCCCCGTGTGATAGCTGGCATTTTGGAGTGGAAAATCCCTGAACCCTATATCCTCAAGCCGAAAATCCTCCGAACCCCGAAGCCTTAATTCTGAACGCCAAGGTCGCAGTGAGCTTCGAACCGGTGGAGCCCTTGAATGTTGGTTGGCGGTTCGGGTGCTGTGCTGGCCATCTACGACTTCCTGCCTCACCTCATACTATTTTTGGGTTCCTTATTATAATTGTAGTCTAATATACCCCAAAACCCTATTCTAGTCATCAAGGCCTCTGTATGATATGGAGCAGGGAAGAGAGGCCTCACTTCTTCGTGAAGCTGGTCTGCGATGATGATCCAAGAATTCTGGTAGACCAACACCCTGCGCCAAGGAAACCGAGGTTCCTGTAGCAGATGCTAACTCCGTGCACCTATGTATGTGGTACAGCTAGATTCGAAGCCTTTAGAAGATCCTACTCTCTGATAAGCACCGGAACCATCACCCCGGCTCCGATTGTGAATAGCACTTCCCTTCAGCAATTCGACAACCGTAAGCTCCCAGCACTCACAGTTTTGCAATGATCACAATCCCAGCCGTAGGAGCGGACGAAGAAGAAAGCGAAGCTAAGCTCAAGAATGGCCTGCTGAGCCTCAGGATCTAAGCCGCTTCAGTCTGAAAAAGATCGACAAGGACCACCTGAGGCCGGAAGTCGAATGCGTACAGACCCAGGAGGGAGACGATATCTAGACCAGCGCTGCCGAATGTTCAATGCGGATGATCGCAATGTTATAGGCTCGTCCACATCACATCACGCGCGGCTAAGTTCTTTTCTGATTGCATATATTTTTCTGCACGAGTGTACTGGGGCTCAACTTAAATTGAGCAGCGCTGGAGCAGGCCTTCCCCAGCAAGAAAGGTCTTTCGCCGGCTTGCATGGCACAAGGTTCTTGCAGGCTGCCAGTATCGACTTCTCCGTTCTATGGCTTCAGGTCTGGAGGTGAAGCTGCACTTGTTGTAACGAAGAAGGGTGAAGGTGGGGTGAATGTCAGCGTAGGTGCAACAACTATTTTCTGGCAAGGTCTAGGATGGAGTCGAGGAGCCTGCAGAAACTGCGTGTGTTTCTTTTCCATCATGTTTATTCCCCCTCTCCACTCCAGTCCCCGCAGCGCCTCGACGTAGCATCCGCAACTCTCCTACGCACCGTCGGGGTTGCCAGGATCATGAAAGCCCGTGCGTTCGATGCGGCCGCCCATGCCCAAGCATGAGCTTCTTTGGGGGCTTCTTCTCGAATCCAAGGCAGGGCATCCCGCACTTTGGACTTGGAGTTTCAGGTCCAAACTCCACCCGTGCCAGCCGCCACCAAATCTTCTCCGGACCCCCTGGAGCTTTCTAGGCTTTGCCTTATAGTCCTTTAAAGGGCGTAGGGTTTCGAGCTTCGGGGATACGCATGAGGCGTGACAGGGTTTTGTGCAGGGGTTGAGCCTTCGGAAATGGCACAGAGGAGAAACCGAACGGTAGACCCCAACCCTCAAGGAAAGTGCTTCATTCAGACTGGCACCAAATCACATGCACAACTCCCCACAACACGTTTCAATACCAGCGCAGTCTTGCTGCCTTCGTCATGTTGCTGAGGCGTGCACGAAGGCTGGCATCACAGTCTACTTCAACGGAAAAGCCCTTCCAACACAAGACTTCCAGGCGAGGGCGGTCGGAGAGAGAGGGGAACCCTAGTAAGGCTGGCTTGCAATTCGATTGGCCTGGGTTTGTGCTTGGGCCCTTTCATGTGACTCTGGCATGCCAAAGGCTTGCGCCGTAAACCGGAAGCCTTAAGCCCCTGCAGTGCCCTACAGCCTCAACAACTTCCATGGGTCTCCCCGCCAGGAATATTCGCAGCGGGTACTGGGCAAGGATTTGGCCGTCCCCGCCTCGAAGAATGGAGGTGTAAGAGACAAATCAATAAATTCAACACAACGGAACATCCTCGTACAGTATGATCGTTTCTGTGCGAGTGTTTTTTCACTGTATCACATCATGTTGTACTACTATCGCCGACATGGCGTCATCGAGAGTTCTTGCTTCCACCCGGGCCCGAGGTCACCAAGATCATCGATGCCAAGGGCAACGTGCGGGCAGAGGCTGGATGGAGATTCCAAAGGGGTAGAATGTAAGTAGTATGCTGTAATCATCAGAAGGAGCCATGTTGTAAGGAATTGCATTACTGAGCATAATCTTGTCGTTCAGTTCCCGCAGAAAGCCCACATGAAAGGGGTCGCGTCTTGCGTGTATTGCATGGTGGCTGGAAGCTTTTCGTCCAGGCAAAACCCAAGTCGGAGGCTTTGAGAGGCAGGAGATTCGAGAAGGAGAGGCCACCAAACGTAGACGCTCTATATTGTCGTGGCGACATGTGTTCAGCCCGGGACCACTTCAGAGAGAAACTACATGACCCTGGGTGCACTCGAAAGTCATGAGATGCTCTTAGGATCGGACTTCAAAGGATCCAACATGTCTCATGCGGGATCTTTCTGAACTTGTTCAGGAATCACCAATGTCGACCCCTAGATAGTATGACCCTTCTGAAAAGGAGAATGCCAAGAAATTTCCGAAGGTCGCCGCAGGTTTCGCCGGCGAGCAGGGCTTTGCAGCTCTTGGCCCCTTGTCTCAGGCTGCGGCTTAGGGTTGAAGGGTTTGGGGTTGGTGTGTTGGGGTTCAGGGTATTGGCAGAGTTTGGATTTCGTCTTCATGCAATATCTGGCTTCTTGTTCGGCGGTCCCGTTCGCTCCAATTGCTAAGGCCCTGGAATCCTGCGCCCTTGCAATTACGTAGTCTGAGAACCGAAAAATTGGAGAACGGATTTCATGTGCAGTAATGTAGCGTGACTTTCGGAGCAAGCTGTATGCAAGCCAACGATGTTCTGTCGGCTTTCCTCCCGAAAGCCACTCGATCTGAAGCTTCGAGATTATGTTTAGGGTTGGGCACTCCACTCCTACGCCAAGGCTTCGTGAATGGGATGAGGTGCAGCCGCGGCACGCATGCACCTTGAATGCAGTGGCACCTTCCCGGGTTCCGTCACCGAGCCAGATTTGAGTTACACACACACACAACATGTATCTAAGTTCTGTTCATGTATACTAGTACACGGCTAGCTGCTTACTACAGATGGCTGTGTATATGTGTTTGATGTGGAGAGTTTCCTTTCGACTTGACCCCAATCCTCGCCGACAGGTTTTGGTTGCTTCAAAATGGCCTAGCACTTCCCAACACCGACTTTACCCCAATCCTGGCTGACAGGTGTGGTTGCTTCAAACATGGCGCCAGCACCTACGAACAACGACTTCATCCCAATCCTGGCTGACAGGTTTGGTTATTCAAAATACGGCCCAAGTTTGGTTGCTTCAAATTGGCGCTGGGCGACGAAGCCGAGGCCAACGTCGTTAGAGTCGACGTGCTTCAGTGTGCCACCTTCTCCATGCCAGCAAGAGGTGGCTGGGGTGCCGGCTACACACAAAGAGCGGCGCCTCTGTAGTTGGTTGCGATGCCTCAGCGAGCCAGCCACTGGTTGCTTCCTTGCGGCTCCGCCGACGTGGGCAAACAGCTTTTCAAAAATCATTCTCAGAGCCGCGTCTTGGCGGATTTTGCCTCGACCTTTAGATTGTGTACTCAGCTGGATCCCATTGTAGCAGCACCAGCACCAGCACCAGCAGGAGCAGCAGCAGAGGCGGCCGTAGCAGCAACAACCAACAGCCACAGCAGCAACAGCAACAGCTTCAACAGCAAGAACAACAACGACGGCAACAACGTCAACACATGACTATACATTGCATTATACCATGCTGTCATGTATTATAAAATTATGCCGTCTTAGATCATCTTATATGAAACCGGTTGTTCATGTTTTGCACATGCGTTGACTTGGTTGGAATGTGGGCAAGGATTCTCGTAGAAAACTCAATACTGCAGCTGTGGTGTTGTGGCGCTTGTGCGAAATCAAATGTCGGACATCGAGGGAGCAGGAACTCCGGCAGTGGCCAATCCTCACCAACCCCCACTTCACTCCGCCAGCTCGACTCGTCGTAGTCGCTTGTGAGCTGAGGTGAACTATGCTGTTCAGCAGCTTGCCACGGGCATCGCGGACATGGCACCCACAGGTGCGCAGAGGGCTTTGAGAGGTTGTTGCGGGTTCGTGGTTTCTTGGCCTCGGGCTCAGTTTCATCCCGGAAAATAATCCCTTTTTGAAACTCCGCAAGCGGGAGCATGAAAGAAACTCCCCGTGACGAACCGCTTGGGGAAAATATGTGATGATACTTCCTGCCTGTCGTTGATGCGACGCTACGTGTACGTGGATGTTTGTTGTACGAATGTAGTGTTCTTCCCATGCTTTCTCGTCTTCTCTACCTGGACCACGACCACCACCAAGCCTTGCTTGCATTGATGCCTTTGGCGTTCCTCCTGGTCCTCGTGTGGCAGTTTAGCGCCATCCAAGGCTTCTGATAGAACGCAAAATTGGCATCCCCCCACAGGCCTTTCCAGACCGTCTGCCGCCACGGCCGAGACACTTGGAAAAGGGAAAGGTGGAGCGAACTGTAATACTGGTAGTAGTGCAGAGACTGACACCGATAGCGGTGATGATGACATCAAGGCTTCGACTGAGCATCTAGGTCCAGGCATGATGCAATGCAATCTCCTTGTAGGAGGTGGTTGCTCTGCGTCTTAGATCGGACTTGTGGTAGTGAGCTTGCTTGGTCCAGAGGAAAGGCCAATATGGCACGTGTACATTTACCACACAAAGTCGCCACACGCCTTGCAGCGCATCTTTTTTTCCGTCTGAGCATGTCTGGTTCGGTTTTCGTTGAAGCATGACGTTCAGTAGCGCATAGGGTCTGGACTGATTAGATTGAAGCTAGCTTTGTCTCGGTACCTTGGCGTGCAATCTCAGTGCATCAAGCCCCCAGAGATGTCAATCCCTGACAAAAAGACCGTGAGCAAACACCCGAGTTAATCATCTGTTGAAAAGTAAAAGGCAGTTAGAAAGCCCAACAAGTCGAAGAGACAACAATCAGAATGACGGCCACTCGCGATCGTTTACACTACAACTTTTCCCACCCAGGTGAAGCAGTATTTCAGGGTGGTGGTGAAAGTCCTCGTCGACAATCCCGCCCCTTGTCTTAAAGCTTCACAGCTCGTCACCTGACCTCAGAGCTGGGCGTGGCATTGTGTTTCCGGAGTTCACATCAGTAATGAGTTGAGACCTCAATCGGCCCGGCCCACCGAACACCAAAGAAAGTAGGATTTTGCCTGACTCTGGTCTGGAGGATGTATGGGCAGGGAGTTCCAGAAGAGAATTGCACGGGAGGGGAGCTCTATGATTTGCAGAGATAACGTAGCAGAACTCCTGCTTTCTTTGCTATTTCTTTTTCTTTGGCTTGAGAGGCAGCTCTTAGTGGAAGCAGTCTCGCGAATGAAAGCCCAAGCTTGGCAAGGACTTCGATTCGCAGACCAAGACCAAGCTCACTACGACGACGTCAAAGCTCGGCGCGCCGCCCCGTGAGGATTTTCAGGTTTCGGATTTGGGAGGTTTCGCGGCGAGATAGCTGTGCTGATGGCGCTGGTTGTGCTGTTGAGGGTGCCTCCACGCCCGGATGATGATGTTTGTGGATGTGACGATGAAGAAGATGATGATGGCGATTGCGATGCTGCTGGTGGTGATGGCACTGATGTTGGTCAGCGGCGAGTGATGATACTGGAAGATGATGTTGGTGGTGGTGAGCCGGTGGTGGTGATGAGGCGGTGGTGGTGCTGAGGCGGTGGTGGTGCTGAGGCGGTGGTGGTGCTGAGGCGGTGGTGGTGGTGAGGCGGTGGCGGTGGCGGTGGCGGT